TTTGAATGCCTGGGGGAGATTTTCTCCATCGGCTCTAAATCCAACACAAACCAGGTCCAGTTTACTTTACAGGCTGCAAATCCAAACTGAAAACTGCTGCTGATCCAGCTCGAGCCCTCTCCAGTCAGTGATATCACTGGAGCAGATACCATCCCACACATCCCACATGCTCCTGCCATGGAAAGTGCTCTCCTCCCTGTCACACATGGTGCCACTGATTACCCCCGTGAGCACCACGCTGGCAGTCTGGGCACAGGCTTGGAGAGGTTTCCCAGGACGGGCTTTGTGAAGCCCAGCCTGGGTGGGAGAAGGGGCTCAGCCCTTGCAAAACGTCTCTGAGAAATAAGATTTAAGTTCCAGGCAGCAGGTCAGTGGTGCTGGTGTCCAGGAGGGCTTTTAAATGGACTGAACTTGTGGAGAGAGCGTTGTGTTGAACCCACCCCAGGGACAGAGCAGGGCTCAGTGTTCCACATCCGGGCTCCTGACTCCGTGTTCCACCAGCTCCTGGGAGGGACACCTGATGGGGCAAGGACAGCAGCTCTGAGCAGGGACTGCCAGTGACCTTTTGCAGACACTGTGGAGAAGTCTGCCAAGCTTTTGGTTGGAGCTACTCATGGCTGAGCAGACAGTGCTGAGACTTGTCACCAGCTTGAAACACCCACAGGTAGCACTGGAGTTCTCTCAGGACTGTGGGCCTCTGCCAAGATGGATCTTTTCCCTTTCCCCTTTCCTCTTTCCTCCAAAAGATGTGAGAGCCTCCTAACATGAGTCTGGAATTCTTGGAGTAATGGCTCTGTTGTGACAGCCCCACACAGGGCAGGGAGGTTGATAGATTGGCACTAGGACCAAAACAGAGAATCCCAGAATGGTTTGGGTTGGAAGGGACCTTAAAGCTCATCTCATCCCACCTCTGCCATGGGCAGGGACATCTTCCATGTCCCATGTTGCTCCAAGCCCTGTCCAGCCTGGCCTTGGACGCTTGCAGGGATTCAGGGGCAGCCACAGCTTCTCTGGGCACCCTGTGCCAGGGCCTCAGCACCCTCACAAGAAGGATTTATTCCTAATGTCTAATCCTGGCATCACCTTGCAGTTTAAAGCCATCATCCCTCGTGCTGTCACTCCATGTCCTTGTCACAAGTCCCTCTCCAGCTCTCCTGGAGCCCCTTTGGCACACAGATACACAAGGGCAACACAGCGCACAAAGTCAAACAACTGATTTTGGAGATCCCACTCAGTGGCAGAACAGAGCTACCATGGGGGATTAAGGACCTTTGTCTGTGAATAAAAATACATCTGAGATGCCCTTTCACAGCTTCCTCAATCATGGCTTTGGCTGCAAGGCTGGGTCTATCTCACCTAGCTCGGGAAGGGACTGGATGCATCTGGAAGTGCAGGTTTCCTGTCACTGATTATTACAGATGCCTGACTTCCAGGGGGATGTGTAAATTCAGAGAGTTCTGCCCTCAGTGTATTGACAAATTCCTGCTGATTTTGATACATTTTATGACTTCTTTCACAGCCTTTACGGGCAGCCCAGTAAAAATTGGTAATTCATACACAAATCCCTTCTGTATATTATTTCTGAGTAAATTATCCTTAAACATGGAAACGTTCCCTGGGCTGATCCCAGCGTGGGCAGCAGGAAAGGGATTGGGATTCTGCCCCTCTGCCCTGCTCAGGTGAGAGCCCACCTGCAGAGCTGCCCCAGCCCTGGGCCCAGCACAGGGAGGAGCTGGAGCTGCTGGAGAGAGCCCAGAGGAGGAACCAGGGTGAGCAGAGGGATGGAGCAGCTCTGCTGGGGGAAAGGCTGGGAGAGCTGGGATGGTTCACCTGGAGGAGAGAAGCTCTAGGGCAAACAAATTGTGGCTTTGAGGATTTTGGGATGGAATTCCTCCCTGTGAGGGTGGGCAGACCCTGGCACAGGGTGCCCAGAGCAGCTGTGACTGCCCCATGATCCCTGGGAGTGTTCCAGGCCAGGCTGGACAGGGCTTGGAACAGGGACAGTGGCAGGTGTGTGACACTCCTGGGGCAATCCCAGACATGGATTCCCTCCCTCCTCCACCCAGCCCAAGGCTCTGGGGCCGTTCCCAGAGATTCTCTTGGTGGCCGTGTCCCTCTGTCCCCTCATGGAGCTGTTCTGCCAGTGGAGGGTGCAGAGGGCAGAGCTGAAGCCTCAGCTCATCCCAGCTCATCCCCAACACAATTCCTGCCTGGGAGAGGATGGGAGCCTTGCATTTGGCAGGAAGGACCGAAAGGTGAACCCGAGGATCCCTGGTTCTGGGCCTCTCCTCTGCCTGGCTCTGCTGAGGGCAGAGAGAAGGATCAGGATTCACACAGGGAAATTCAGCACAGAATAAACCCAACATTCCCTGCATTGCTCAGGAAGCCCACGAGGGTTTCACCCTGCCTTAAAATGGGTTTGATTTTTTTTCCTAGGAAATCCCCAAAGAATATAGCATTGGAGAAAAGTTTTCTCCGAGCATCCCATTATTTTTTTTTGCCTTTGGTTTGAAGTGAGCTGATGCCTTGTGCTTTTGTGGCAGGAAAAATTGGAGCTGCAAGAGTGTTCAGGGCAATCCTGCTGCCTGTGGAGCCCTTGAAATGGATCTCCTTATTCATCCCTATGGAATCCAGGAGGAGCCTCATTCTCCAGGGTGAAATATATTCAGTTTTGTTGATCTAGACAGAAAAAGGAAAAAAAAGTCTTAAAGCACAGCTGATACATTTCTTTATATACTCCTTTTCCTTGTAAATTCCTTTTCATTGTGAATTAAAGACCAGCTTGTAGACTTACTCACCTTCTGAGCTGACATTTGAATTGAGTGATATGAGCACCAAGAAATTTCTATCACTTTGATCAGATGCTTGAATTCTACATTTTGATTCTTTTAATACAAAGATTTTTAAAATAGCCAGGGAACTTGTTCTGGGGAATACAAAAGTGTTAATATTCATAGAATATTCTGAGCTGGAAGGGACCCACAGGGATCATCAATCCAGCTCCTGGCCCTGCACAGACACCCCAACAATCCCACCTTGGGCATCTCTAAGAGCATTGTCCAAATGCTCCTGGAGCTCTGGCAACCCTGGGGTCGTGCCCATTCCCTGGGGAGACTGGGCAGTGTCTGACACCCTTGGGGGGGAAAAATCTTTCCCTCATATCCAAACTAAACCTCCCCTGACACAGCTCCAGCCGTTTCCTGGGGTCCTGTCCCTGGCCCCAGAGAGCAGAGGTGGGAGCAGCCCCTTGGGAGGAAGTTGTGGGTTGGAATGAACTCTGCCCTCAGTCTCCTGTTCTCCAGCTGAACAGACCAAGTGCCCTCAGCTGCTCCTTGTTGTGGCCCCTCCAGACCCTTCCCCATCCTTGTATCCCCCCTTTGGATGCTTTAGATCCTTTCCATTATCGTGATGCCCCAGAACTGCTCTAGGACTGTTACAAGGGTTGTTTCACTGAGGTCCAGAACAAGATTTCCTCCCCTTTCAGCCAGCACTGAGATGGGAATTCTATTAAAAATCTATAACCATTGACCAAAATAACCATTATGCTTAAATCAGTAATTTCAGAATATCTCACCCGGCAGATCTTTATTATATCACACGCTTAACCTGACTTAATGTATTATATAGCACCCATTAGTGGAATAGATTAACTTCAGATGTTCCCTTTTCCACATTAATAATGCAATCAGGAATTTATGCCAGACACTTTCTGCTTGAAACTGCGCGAGGAAGATCTGAAGAAATATGAAAAAAAAAAAAAACCTCGTGTGCATCTATTGAATAAGAAATGCTTGATTTTGTAGCATTTTGTGGGAATCAAAGGGCTGGAAAACAAACTATTTGAGTTGTGGAACAACTGCCATGAAGGCAGAGCGGAGCGGCTGGTCAAGGTTAAGACTCTTTTATCGTAATGAAAGATCTGTTCCTGTGAGCTTGCCATGGGCAATGTGTTTGTTCATTATGTGGGAAGCTCAGGAAGGCCGGCATCGTTTCATTTGCTGCCTTTTAACTGCTGGTGCTTTTGCAAACGAGCTGATAGGTAATTATAATACACTCACCACTTATAGGCATCTTTATTAGCCTTTGGCAGCATGGCCTTTGTGTAACTGGGGAGGCTTTGAGCTCGGTGGCCTCAGCAAATCCTTTAGAGTTCAGACAGAAACTATTTGGCAGCTGCTTCCCTGGCTGTCGCTTCTAGGTGGGTTTGTTTTGCCGTGAAAGGAGAGAAAGGAAGGCAAGGAGAACAACTCACAAGCATCTGGATGCGAATATCCAGCATTGACGGGAGATCTCTTCTCCAAATCAGCTCACACGGCGAAAAGCAAACGCTCAAAGTCACCAGCCGAGGTGTGGAATCATTTCCAGCCCCCAAAAAAACACAATTAGTTCGTGTGTGTTCCAGGAGCAGAGAGAAAAAGGCTGGATTTGTCACGAAAATAATTTATTGGGAATTATTCACTGTCTCTTACTCTGGGTACTGGCAAGGCAGGAAGTTTTCCCTGGAAATCAATAATCAGATGTGGGAATTAGGGAAAACTGTGCTTACCTGATACCTCGGAAATGCAACAGTTTATTTGAGAGCAGGTGAAATGCAGCACTGTCACCCCAGGACTGGGCAGGAAGTCTGCTGCCTTCAGCTTGATGCATCCTTGGTTATCCACATTTTTCTCTTATGCTGAAATCATAATATTCCAGTTTCCCCCTCTCTGTGTATCAGCTGGGAAGGGGTGGATCTTGCCCATTTCCAAAGGGAATCATGGAATTATAGAATCCCCAGAGCTGGAAGGATCCACGAGGATGATGGAGGATCACGGAGTCCAGCTCCTTGCAGGACACCCCACTAATCCCACACAATTCCGCAGCTCTGGGAGCTCTCTTGGGATGTACCTGCCCTGCGAGGATTTTGCCCAAGACTTTGGCCTTGTTTTGATTCTCCAGGCACCTCCCTGAAGTAAATAAATGGTAATCAAGGAGTAATGGGAGTGCTGAGCCGGCAGCTCTGCAGTCCTCAGAGGTGCACAGCTGGCACCGATGCATCAGCGCTGCCGTGCTCCGGGAATTTGCAAATCCACATTAACAGGCTCCTGAAGCAATAGTTACAGAGAATCTCCTGGCTCTGCCTGTCAGACCCAGCCTGGTGGCCTGTGGGGCTCCCACAGTGGCCCCGCTGCCCCTCCACAGGGACTGGGGTGCGCGGATTGTTCCTCACCTTGTTATAAATGAAAATTTGTCCAGCCAAATTAATATGGAAAAATAAAATATTTATTTTGCAATCAAATTCTATCTAGCCAGCCACAAGGAAAGAACAGTGCCGAGCCCGGGGTCGGCCCTGGGTGTGCAATAAGTCAGCCTCAGGAGAGGTTTTCCCCTATGCCCACACACCTCCATCCTGGCACAAGGGGTTTTCATAAGGAAAATTCCACCTGAGGACAAGATTTCGGCAGTCAGTCTTCCATTCAGAGTCCATAGGTTAAGATTTTCTTTTTTTGGTGATGAGGAAGAACAATTCCGTGTCCAGGAGTTGTTGAATCCCTTGATGGAATTTACAGGAACACTGCATTCACATGGATCTGCCCGAGGATTTCCATGAGATCCATCTCGGACATGGCCCATCTCCCTGCTGAGCCTCATCCTTTAACTTGTAAATCGGGTTTCAACATACACCAGGTTTCGCCTATGAGGGTGGGGGGGAGTCCTAATACAAACACATATACTCCAACAAATATTCAATATCACATATATCATACTAGAAATGGCACGAATTATATCTACTACACATAACAACCTGGTGACTCCATCGGAGGTGGGTAAAGGAATTGCAGGACTGGGACCCTTTTCTTGCAAGGCCAAACTCTTCCCCCTGAGACTGAAGACCCAAAGAGTGCCTCCTCATCTGTGGATTTCCCCTCATCCCTTCTGGTCACAGGAATGGAATAACTGGGGCAGGGACACACAGTGTGGGTCCCTCCCACGGCTTCCTTCTCATGGTTCAGAGCTCCAGCCTCTGCACCCTCAGCCCTTGGAGCTGCAACTCCACTGCCCTCTCACCATCACCCTGAGCTGGAAGCTGGAAGCTGTAAGAAAAGGAGGATTGCTCTGGCAGTGAGAAATCCCTGCCCCTTCCTCCAAAACCAGAGCTCAGGCAGGACTGCAGGAGCTTGAGGTGACCCGGTGCTTCCTGATGGATCTGCTGTCAGTCAGGCTGTGATGAGCTCCTGCCAGCTGTGCCTGCAGGGACAGCTCCGACCTCCTTTCCCTGCCTTCCTCACCCTGCTGGGCAGCCCTGGGATGCAGGTGAGGGTGGTGTCAGTGGTGCTGGGAATCCCTGTGGCAGAGAATCCAGACATCCAGAGCTGGCATGGCCATATCCCATGTCCCCGTGTCAGAGCCCGTGTGGTGACACTGGGGATGGTCTCAGAGGTTCTGCTCTGCCTCTCGTGGCAAACAGCTGGAGAACAGCCCTGGAATGGGAGTCAGTACCAGATCCCTGGCACAGCTAATCCAGCAGGTAGGAAAGCTCAGGGCCTGTCCCATGGGCTGGAAGTGGCCACCCATCCCTCCTTGTGGCTCCAAACACGCTCAGCCACAGGCAAGGAGAGTGTGGGGAGGCTCAGGGGTCTGTGCTCACTTTCCTAAGTAGAAATAAAAAGAGAGGAAAGAAACTTGGAGACAAATCCCTCTCCTGTTGCATTTCCAGTTCAGTGCAGCCCACGAGCATCTGCCTGTTAATGGGATGGCTGGAGTCACTGACACCTCTTGGCAGCTCTGCCCCTACCACAGTTCTGTTTTTATTTCCAGGCCTCACCAGATATAACCTCTCCAGCAGCACCGGAGAGGCTTAAAAAATAATTGGACCAAGTGGGAAATGAAGCCGTTGCCTTCCTAAATCTGCCAGGGTCTCGTGGGAGCAGGGAGCAGGCAGGAGCCCCAGCTGGGAGATCTGGAGGCACCAGCAGCAGCAGGGCAGGAACCCTGTTGGCCACGGAGCATCGGGAGAACGGCAGCCACTGCACAACAGCAGCTCCCTGACCTCAATTTTCTCCGTGGAGAAAAGAGCAGGTCAAGTGGAAAGTGCTTAAGGAGGAAATTTGTTTCCTTCCAGCCAGGGAGTCGGGAAGATAGGCGGCTATTGCGTGTGCTGGAATAAACCAAATTAATTTTGTGCTGTGCGCTGGCTCGAGGAGCTGAGGGCAAGGCGGGGAAGATAATGGACTTTGATGTTTTACTTGAACTCAACAAAACACCTGGCAAGAAGCTACAACGGCAGCTCCAAACGCTCCTAACCCAGGCAACTGCTGCCTTTTGTTTTCTTTCTTTCCAATCTAATCCTGAGCATTTACCGGGCTGGTTCATATTTCCAGTGGAATAAAAGATGCATTGTGAAAGGGAGAGGGAAACAAGAGGCTTTAACAACTTCCTTTGCTTCCCCCAACAGCCTTGTGGCATCCATCTCCTTCAAGGCAAAGCCCCAGGTGAGACCCCGGTGGTGAGGGGAGGGCTGAGGGGTGGTGGCACTGGTGTCAGGAGGATCGGGAGCACCGGGAGAGGGATTGGAGCCCCGTCTTTCTGACAGATTTCTTCCAAACTGCTTCATCTTCCTGCTGCTGCAACAGGGGCAGGAAGGTCCCTGAATCCTGAGCACTGCTATCCTCTTAAAAATGTCACTGTCAACATCAGCTGCCTCATTTTCTGCCTCTCTGTCATCCCTGCAAGCCCTGCATCAGACCCCAATTCCCTGAACCACCCCTCAGCATGGATTGCTTTTATTTTGGGGGGTCTAGAGACACCTGCTA